GCCATTGAATTCAAAAACAATCTTTCAAATCAATAGCCATAATGTCTGCCAACTCACACATTGTCACACTTATTGTCAAATTCATTGTACAAATAGCATAGTTCGATATAAATCTCTTCCAGGCATATCAGAATCATCAGATTTTTGGAATTCAGTCCATACCAAATTTCCTAATTTTAATTTTAAACTCTTATATACTAGTGCCTGAATTTATTTATTTTTCCCTATAGACAAACAATTTGGATTTTTTTTTTGTTCAAATACTACAACCCTCTATTTTACCTCAGACTTCATGCTTATTTTGCATCTTTATTTTCAGAATTTAGTCCACATCAACCCTCCAGTTTGCATCTTTTGTTTGTGGGAAATCGGTCATTATCAAACTTCATGCTTGTTTTATTTAAATTTGGTACATCTAGGAAAGGAAACTATAAAATTTACAACCTTTTAGTTTTGCTAGGAACAAGACCAAGAAAATACCACAAAGGAGGTGATGACTCCAAGGCCAAAATATAATACGTCTGATAAATTACCTTAATTGCAGAAAAAAGACGAGCTATTCCAGAATGTGTCCAGTCCTTCCCAACCAAAGGCATAAACTGACCGAGAACATCAGACCTGGAAAACAAGCACATATGAAGCACAACCTACTTGAGATATTGGAAATCTATCTTTGCTACACCATAACTAATTTGCTCGAACAATACGACCAAAAATAAATCATATTTCATGTTAATGGTTATTCGACCCATTTCAGCTTACAAAAAACAACCCCAAGAGAAAGGGGATGCATTCTGATGGATCATCTTGAGTTACCAGAGATCAACAAAACCATAGAAAATTGTGAATTGGAAAATTTGTTTTAAATCGTGTATGCTTGCAAGTTTGGCTGCCAAATTTTGCTATGAGACCAGTTTATGTTCGATTGCTTCCTTCCCCATGATCTCTATGATGAAAAATCATCAATGTGAAAACGTCACTTGTACTAATCAAAATGTTCAGAATTCCTTGTAGATGTGTACTTTATATTTTTGAAATATCAACTTGGACCAAAACCGTAACATCTATTTTCAGTGACACCAATACTGTTTAATAAACAAGATAGATTAACACAAACTTTTGCTGGTTTTCACAGTAGCATTATAAAATTATTATTATAACTAGAAACGGTGAACTATTAAGGTCAGGATCTACAGCAAGCCTTCCAAATCAAAATAGGTCAGCTCGCTTAGTGAGCATCACGAACAGAAGTGCCAGACATTTCAGCCTTGCTGAATTGGAAATCTAGTCTTCTCATATCCCAATTTTTTCAAAGACCAAGATATCAGTAAACCTAATTGTAATTAGCTAATAGCTTCCATTCAAACATATTTTTCCAGATTGTAAAATTTCACATTATCAGTTCTGTGATTTCCAAATAAACAAGCGTGAAATATAATCAAAAGGCACTTCAATGTCTAATAAAATTTGGATTAAAAAGCAGCACGATACAAAAACATTTCATAAAAGGAAAAATAATCTTACTTAGTAATCGTCCCATCTACGTCAGAAATTACAATTCGTGTATTCCACTTCCACAGGTATATATGAGCTTCAACCTGTTTCAGAAACTTGTAGATTATTAACAATATTAGAGGGTATCTAGACAAGCCAATTATCTATTTTATAGTACAAACATTGACCATGAAACAAATTACAGACCTTCTGAGTTCCAAGAACTCTTGTGGAGAAGATGAAATTCACCATGTTTTGTCCCTCTTCGAGATTTAAAGAAGCTATCTGATCGGTGGTGGGAACATTTGTTCTTATAACTTGCTTCCTAGGAGATTCGCTGGCAGCACGAGGTGTTGGAGTTGGTTCAACATGTTGGCTCTCTGAGACAAATTCAGAATCAACAAAGACCTCCTCGTTTGATGAGTTGCTACCAGTATGCTCAAGTGTCTTAACCCGCCTAAATGGAATAGGCCAGAGCCTCCATCTGCGTCCAGAAGGAGTTGACTTCAATCCAGATTCATCATCCTTGGCTTCTGTCGTTTCCTGTTCCACTGGAATTACGTTGTCCAGCTCAACAGGTAAATTCAAACCATAAGCTGCCAGTCCAAGAATGATGGGTGCAGCATTATCCCATATTAAGTACTTCCCTTGAATTCTAACAATTAAATTTTCATTTTTAACAATTGATGAGGCAGAAACTTTAAATTCCTCCAATGATATGCAGTTTCGGTCGAAGGCTTCCGCTGCTGCACTCAAACCCATGCCAGCGCAAAGCAAGTTCCCACAGAGAGATATTTCTAACCCTGCCATAACATATTGAATATGATTACAGAAAATGTGAAAGAGTACTAAAATCAAATTACAGAGAGTTATTCCAATTTTATTATAATATCAAGATGGCACGCCTTACCTGTGTTGAAGCCCACTTTCATGTCTCCAATTAAAGCTTTAGAATGAGGGTCAAGATGTTCGTCTTTACTGCATTCATCTTCAGATACAGGTGCTTGCTGGTCACTCTTCATTCCTTCGGCTTCTAAATCTGCATCCATCAGATTCTCTGCTGGTTTCTGATCAGTAGGTATGCCATCAGTACCATTCAGGTCCATATCAAATGTATTTTTTTCGTGGGTTTCAACTTCACCTGGAAAATCTTTCAAAGAAACAGTGCTGGGATATTCAGAATATGAGGGAGTTAATCTATTTTGATATGTTGATTTTCCAAGATTTCCCTCTTCAGTTTCATCATTTGTCAAAGGACTTCGAGGGGACTTCTCATTTAGATCTTCAGCAGACTCGTGAATCTGCATTAAAGAACCCGCGTCTTGTTGAATGGCATTCATAGACTGCACAGCCAATTCTTGGAGCCCCGAACAGCTTTTGAAAACCTCGGCCCTCTTGAAACTATTGGACGTGGTTTCTGAACTACTCGAGCAAAAGTCTCTGCCCCGGTTAGCTGTATGCTGTCTTTCTAGCACATGAGAGAGATTCTCCTCAGCTCCTTCAGAAGCTTGACTGCCATTGTCAGCCTTATGTGCATTTTCAGAAGTAACTTTACATGTAGAGGTGTCCAAATCACTCATATAATCAGCAGACCATGGAACTACACTGGTATTGTATTCTTCAGACCTTTCACCTGGACCAAGGTGAAACTGAGGCGTGCATAGTTGCAAGTTTTCACTGTTCCTCTCCGAAGATGAGATGGGTGCTGTCAGTATGTGCCCATCCACACTCACCAGAACTACTTCTGAATTTGAAGCGTGTGATTCTATCACATGCTCCACACCATCTAAATTGTCATATCTACTGGAATCATATTCTGACAACCCAATTGAACCCTCTAGAGAAGATTGTTCGTCTTGAAACTCGTAGAATACCCGCTCGCTGTCAGACTCGTTCATCTCCAATCGGTCCATGCCTAGAGTAAGACGTTCGTCTAGCACCTCTACTTCACCATTACTAAAATCATTAGCTTCTTGTATAAGAAAGCTATTGTCTTCTGAATAATTATCAATATTGGTGCCTTCATGATTATCCGAATCCTTCAAAACTTCGTTTGCCTTGTCGTCCTTGTCAGGAACAACTTCCCTAACAAAATATGCTTCACCAGAATTATCTAGACACATATGAAAATTGCCTTCAACTCCATCAACTTCTATTCGGACAACTTTCTCTGCCCCTTTAAGAACACCCTGAAATTTACCAAATCGTACATACCAAGGCGTGCTTCGGAAGGTTCCATCTTGCTGCTGGACGACTATTATGTCAACTGCCCCACCAAATGGATGAAACGGCGTGGCAACAGAATACATTCCTTGTGTGATAAAGCTGCTAACTTTACCCACCACATTCATTTGATTTATGTACGAAAAATTACCACCCAATTTTTTTTGCAAAAAAAAAACCAACTAATCTACAAAGATGATATTTCTATATCAAATCAACGAAATTCGATCAACGAATCTTAATCCATCAACTGAAATTTATTCCACCAAATGATACCGAGGAAGCATAATTCTCAGTCGTTTCACTTCTTGAATTGAAGATATCTGTATACAAAAAATATTTTAAATTAATTACATGATCACCCAAATTTTCTCTGGACGACAACTTCAAAGATCGTTGCGAGTGAACTGAAAACCTAAACACTTCTTACATCAACCCAGATGAAACCAAAACAATACAAACAAATAAGAATCAAATATGCTTGAAAATGCAAGATAAAATAAAAATCAAATAGTGCGAGCTTACATAATCAAGAATTCTGAGAAAACTTCGTGCTCAAATTGAAATATATCTAACAGCTTAAAATCAAATATTATTCTCCCGAAGAAGATCAATAGTATTTGTCTCCACGTATTGTGCTGTGCAATTTGGGCAAAAGAGACAGGAGGCATAAATTCAATTCCCAATTTGTCAAGCAAATAAATAGGTAATGCTTAGATCAAAAGAACCTGTTCATGATTGACCTCGTATTACGGATTTAATTTCAAGAAAACCGCTGATTTTGCTTGTAAAAATTGAATGCTGGTAAGGACAGAACTGGGAATTTCTTGCTGTTGTAGCGTTTCGGGTCTGAATGTGTAGCATCCTTCAATTCATGTACAAATTTGCTATATTACCTACAATTTTTTGAAGAGTAATTTTTTAAAAAATTGGCTCGAACTAATTGATTAATCAGAGAAAATGAAAATGAATTTAGTTATTGAGAAAAATGAATGAAATCCATTTAAAATAAATAAAGAACCAATTAGTCACCTTAAAATTTTAATTTTATTTATTTTGAAATTTTTTATTACTATAATTCGATCTCGATTCAATCGATTACGTACCTATCTTTCATTGAACCATGTTTTACGCATTGCGGTCCATTTATTAAGTAATCAGAAGACGAACAAGTATCTACATTTTTATACAATTCCTGAATTCTAGATCCACCCATTTCCCAGTGAAGGGCAATTTAGGTATTTTACACCCACAAATCGTAAAATTCGCTCCATCAACATCCCCTTCTTTTTTGACCCGGATCTCCCCAGAGTCTTCCTCCGCCCTTCGCCTCGTCCCGCCACCACCTATCAAAATGACGAAACTACCCTTCCTCCTCCCGTGCCTCATCCTCATCTTCCTCCTCCGTCCCGCCGCAGCCGAGATCAAGTCCCTCAAGATCAAATCCGATTCGCGGGCCATGATCCTGTTCGAGCGATTCGGCTTCACACACACCGGCCATGCCAACATTTCCGTTTCTTCCGTCTCCGTAATCTCCTCCGCCGCCTCGCCAGACCCCTCCCGCCTCGGTTTTTTCCTCCTATCAGAGGAATCTATCATCCAAGTGCTCTATGAGCTCCAGCAGAACCCTTCTTTTTGCGTCCTCGATTCTAAATACGTCGACCTTTTATTTACTTTCAGGGACCTGTCCCCTCCTCCCCGCTCCTCATTCACCCATACTTACCCGATTACCTCCCCGAATGAATACTCCCTTTTCTTTGCCAGTTGTGCCCCTGAATCCATGGTTTCAATGGATGTCACGACCGAGCTTTATAATCTTGATGATCGTGGCCGTGTCAAGGACTACTTGTCTGCTGGACTTACCCAGTTGCCCACTTTATATTCATGCTTTTCGATTTTTTATTTTGTTTTCTTCTGGTTCTGGGTTTCCTTTTGTTTAAAAAATAGGATGTCTGTGCATAGAATCCATGCTCTTATGGGTCTTTTGGTAATTATGAAGGCATTGAATTTGCTCTGTGCTGCTGAGGATAAGCATTATGTTAAGGTTACAGGCACCCCTCATGGATGGGATGTGTTGTTTTACATTTTTCAGTTTATTAGGGTGATACTGTTGTTTACGGTGATCATTTTGATCGGTACTGGGTGGTCGTTCTTGAAGCCCTTCTTGCAGGAGAGGGAGAAGAAAGTGTTGATGATCGTGATCCCGCTACAGGTGTTGGCAAATGTGGCTTCCATTGTGATTGGGGAAACTGGGCCGTTTATTAAGGATTGGGTGACATGGAATCAGCTTTTCCTGTTAGTAGATATTATTTGTTGCTGTGCAATTCTTTTCCCGACTGTGTGGTCTATTAGATCGTTGAGGGAGACGTCAAAGACCGACGGGAAGGCTGCTAGGAACCTGTCTAAATTGACCCTTTTTAGGCAGTTTTATATTGTGGTTATTGGGTACTTGTACTTCACGAGAATTGTGGTGTTTGCGCTCAGGACCATCGCTGCTTACAAATACCAATGGGTGTCGAATGCAGCTGAGGAGATTGCAAGTCTTGCATTTTATGCTGTAATATTCTACATGTTTAGGCCAATGGAGAAGAACGAGTATTTTGCGCTTGATGAAGAGGAGGAACAGGAAGCAGAGATGGCTCTTCGAGAGGAAGAATTTGAGCTCTGACTGGGATCTAAATGCTGTTAGTTTATTCTAATTGGATCTCCTTTTTGCATTATACCGCCCTCACATTTACTCATTGTGAGTTGTTTAGCGAAGTTTATGTAGGTTTGATACAAAATGTCCCTATCTGCAAACTGTCTTGACCTTTTCTTTTCCTTTGATTTTGTCTTCATTGACATCGGATTTTACTTCTGATAGTGACATTTAATTTTGGATAGTGGAAGTATTTTGCCTTTTGCAAGGCTTCATTTGCTAATATGTATTCCCTTGTCTATGAAGATCATTACTTGTGTTCAGCATCTTTGCGTTTATTGATTTCTTAGGCCTTCATTTTATGCAGATAATTTTTTCTTGTTATCTTCCTCAGTTTTACCTGACCCTTGTCTTTGAAGATCATTACTTGTGTTCAGAATCTTTGCGTTTATTGATTTCTTAGGCCTTCATTTTATGCAGTTAATTTTTTCTTGTTATCTTCCTCAGTTTTACCTGATATTGTGTATCTTTGTCCTATCATTCGATGCCATTGTCCTGTACATGACTATAATTAATGAGATGTGACAAGGCTTCTTTGTCGCTATTCCTGAAACTTGTTTCTGTAATGCTTCGTTGATATAGTCCATGTTTGCTTCAGCTAAAAATAAGAATTAAAATCTAAACTTTTAACAAAATCTACTAAAAATCTTATTTTTATCTAAACCAAACAGGAGCATAGTTTGTTTGATGAATATTGAACAGCTCATTTTAAAAGTTTAAGCTTAGAAACGGGATAAATTTAATTATTGAACTATCCCTGTTGCTTATGTAGAGTGGATTCGTTCTTCAATCAAATGCACAACTTGTGGAATTTTCATACATGGATGGCGGAGAGATTGGTAACCTAGTTTGTGTCTAGTAAGAGTAAATTACAGCGCCTCATTAAAAACTTCAGTAAATAGAGAGGAGATGAATTAATTTCTCCTATCTTATCGTCAACCATTTAGAAAATTTTCTTGCTAATCTATGATGCTTGAATTCATTTTCTTTTACATGATTTTATGTCGAGTTGGTTAAAATTCACTACGTAGACCTGCTAACCCCATATTTAACTGGTAAGGGTCATTGGTCACAAAGATGCAATCCATGGCCTAATGTTGCTGGAAACTATTTCTTGATTGTTTTCTGGAATACCTTTTTCCCCTTTTCTACTATGATAGAAAGTTAGTAGTGCCTATATAGAAAGTTATGCTCTATTTCTAAAATTACCAACGAGCCCAGCCCTCAAGAAGAAGAAAAGAAAAAAAAAATGTTTTTTTTTAATTTTATCTGGTTTTAATTCTTTGCTTTTCAAAATCCTAAGGTTTGGAACCGCATTGCTCCTTTCTAGAAGCACAACATGCTTAAATGATTTATGTTGGTAACCCCTCCGGAGGGGCAGCAGTGCAATTTCATGTGGATATGGTACAAAATATATTGTTACAAGGTTGTTGAGCAAGAAAGACAGTGAGAGAAGATTTGATAATGTACAATCTCATTGGACTGTTAATTTATCGCCTGCTGAGGGATTGTTTTTCAGCAACTTTTGACCATTAGGCCCTAAAACCAAGCTTGTTTCTCCTTTTATGGCTTGTTGATAATAGGATTAGATGACACTGACAATATCTCATTTCAATATCTCACTTTGTTCTGTTCGTGACTTTGAAATTGGCCGTAGATATTAGTGAATACACCATAGCAATAGTATAAGATAGGGAAAGAGCCGTAAAGCAGAAATGCTATCGCCAGTCACAACCAATATAAAGTAGGGAAAGAGCCTTAAAGCAGACTTGATATCGCCAGCCACAACCCTGACTGTTTGCATGAGTAGTACCGTTGGTATCAGTCCTGTCTTCGTTTGTCCAACTCCTGTTGGTGTTGAATACACGTTGAAAATGGTAGTAGTATACCTGGAGAACAAGCCTTTTTAGTTATCTGGCCTTTGCCATTCTTTAATCTGTTATCCTCAATCTGGGCAGGTAGGGACAATCATTCTGGGAATCTAGGTTTGAATACGGATCCCTATCAACACAAAAAAATTAATGAATAAAAAGAAGCTAAATCTTATTCGTACTATTCACTCCGTCGAGTTTTTCTTATCAGACATGCACTTAGTCTATAAATAATTTAGGGCAACCCTTCTGGAGAGAACGCTTTCGCTTGTAGCTGGTAAGTTTTGCCGAAGAATGCAGGCCAACGTAGATAGGTTGACAACAGTTGAAGCCCCACCGAGCATGTTCATTACTACAATCTGCAGTTGAATGGCCTCCAATTGAGAAGCTCCACCCATTAAAAGGCCAGTCGTTGCACCAGGAAGTGATATGAGTCCTACTGTCTTTCATTATCCAATGCTGGAGAGAGTTCAAAAATCAGTGTTCTTTTCACCTGCTGATGTGTTGCCTGTTGAGGAGTTGCCTCAAGAGCAAGTGCTGTCTCTACCTGAAAGAAGTCATGAAGTTGTTGATGTACGCAAATTGCCACGTCTCTATAATCCCAAATTGTTGCAAGGCTTGGATACGAATAAGGAAGAGAGACGTGATATAATTTATTTATTGTCCATCTTGTTCTGTCTAACATAAACAAGCCGTATCTCTATTTTTCATTACTGTTTGGCTGGAGATTTGATTTCCAAGAACACGACAATGTTCTGAACAAAGAGCAATTACAGGCACGTTTACTATGATGAGTTGCATAGGGCTGGGAAAGGACTTGTGGGAAGATGTTTATTGGTTGTCTAGTTCTGTCTAATCTAGCATGCGAAATCGTACATAGAAGTATTATTTAGCTGGGACAAAATGAAGAAATGACTTCAAGCTTGTTGTCATTAGGTTCAAAATCAAATGATATGGCTCATTGTAGAGAAGAACTACAATACAAGAAGGGGTATTGTGGTTTAAGGGCAAAACTCGAGAGAAACACTCGTGATTCTTAACCTTTTTATGTTGAAAGATTTACCCCTACTCATTCAGGGAAATTTATTAAAGAATCTACAATTGTGGGCAGTTTTATTGTGACCTACCAGGCTCGTTTGCATCTTGAATTTCATCTCCCAAGTTTTTCATTGCAACTGCGGTGACTGTCGTTGAATTGTCAACCATCATCCCTGCAAAGGGATGATGTACTGGGGAGTAAAAGGGAAAACTTATAATACAATTAACAACACTGAAGACCCAGCCAGAATCGACACTCCTGCCACATACTTCCCGCGTTGTACGTGCTTCGCTTGTCAACCGGCTGTATAACATCACAGATACCTGCAAGAGAATCAAAACCAGATGAAAAGAATCAGATGTGATTATACGCCCTTGTGACACAAAAGCCAAGACTGTAAGTTGAATAGAGTTGTACTATGAAAGATGAGCCAGAATGATCCAATCGGCATTATGCTAATCGAAAATGAATTGCAGAACAAATCCAATGACAGACGGTTGAAGAAAAGCTTTGAAAAATTGAATAACTCTCCAGCCCGATTTCTGTGAGTACGACAGTGCCGCTGTCATAAGCACGACTGCTAGCACCTCTACTGGGTTTGCCATGCCCTTGAAGAAGAATAATGCTCCTTGGACATGGGAAATGACATGAATGGGAGAGACAGGGTGGTGTGGCTGATAGTGATTGTATTTTTTTTTTTTTTTCAAACTGTCCAATCATGTACACGTATTCTCTCTGTTATTAAGTTTGTCATTGTAGCATGTCATTGTAGCATAACTCCTTGGAGATTCCCCAGCCATTCCTAATCCATTGGACAAGATTTCTTAGTGTAAGGTGACTAAATTAACACCTTCCTAAGATGAAGTTTTATTTCTATTTATGGGATCATTGGGCTTCTTATGATACAATCATACATGGCATGCAATGATTGGAGGAAATGAAAGTAAATGGACGTAGGTTCACATACGAAAATGAATTGGTACCATTTAGAAATAAATAATGTTACTTGTATATTATATTATGGTTTACCGATTGACATACATATTGTTAGTGGATTATATTAATTGATTTCTTTTTTTATTATTTGTTCTCTCTCTCTCTCTCTCTCTCTCTCTCTCTTCCTTATCATCATTTTGTAAATCAAATTGTAATTCATGATGTACAAATAGTATTACTATTGAAAATATTAATGGTTCTTTCAAGGGAAAAATTTATTTACCCTACTTTATCTTTACTCTATTTCAAAAATAACAAAACAACTTTCACATTTCAAAAATCAGATTTTTTGACCTACACACACACACACACACACACACACACACATATATATATATATATATATATATATATATATATATATACACTTCGGCGACCTCTCCGGCGATTGCTCCAATTCCGGCGACATCTCCAGCAACCATTCCGGCGACTGCTCCTATTCCGGTGAGATCGTTTCCGACGACTCTCCGAATCCGGCGAATATTCCGGTGACATGAATTTTTTTGTACGGTCACAGCCCAGCTCACTGGTCACAACGCATGATTTTTTGTTTATAATGATTGATAACACGACAAGGCTCATGTCTTGCATTTTTGTTCATAGTCACAGATGATTTTCAAAAGGTCACAGCACAAGTAACAGAATATATTGCACATGGCTCACGATTATGTTCATAGTCCCATGTTATTTTCAAATGGCCACAATACAGATCACATAATATTTTTGCGCATGGCTCAGGTTTTTGTTAATAGTCACAACATAGGTCATTGAATATTTTGCACATGGCTCAAGTCACAGCATAGGTCACAGCACATGGCTCATGTCACGGCATAGGTCACAGCACATAGCTCCATTGGTCACTGCATATGGCTCAGGTCACAGCATAAGTCACTGCACATGGCTCAAGTCACAGCATTGGTCACAGAGAAGGTACAACACCACCGCACCACCACCGTCGCCGTCTCACTTACCCTAACCCTAACCTTACTCTGCCAATGCTACCACAACATACAACTCACCACAACCACCATCGTTAACGTCGCCAACACAGCCTCACTATAAGCGTCGCCGTCAATACAACCTAACCACTCCACGAGGTGCCACCATCAACACCAATGGCGCCTCCACTACCACCCACCACAAAACACCGTCAACAGAACCACAAGACCACGAAGGCACCTTTTAATACCCAGCACCAACACAGATTCGGCGCCTCCACCAACACCAAGCAGCCACCACAACCGCGAATCACCAACACCAACAACCACCAATAAAAATAGCCTAAAAATTCCTGATACATCGACCTGAGAATGGCAACGTCGCGCGAGGCTACCGCGAATAAGGGCACCACTAATTCCAGATTTTCACAGTCCATTCCCAAGACCCAGAAACTATAGTCGACTGATGCGTATTAGGTGAAAATCGGACGCAAGAAACCCAATCGGCAGGTTGTAGCACCAGACTGAAGGTCCCAGAAAGCGCAAACATACCGTCAGAGGAAAGGACAACTTCCTGGACAAAGTGGGAGTGGCCAGTAAGACGGCGGCAGGCGACGCCATAGGTCCTATCTTCCTTAGTGAGATTCCACAGAATGATGGACTTGTCACGGGAAGAGGTGACTATCATATGGACCGCCCCAAAATTACTCCATCGTCGTCTCCGACGGTCACGCCGCCGCCACCACGAGAGAGAGAGAGAGAGATAGAGACCCTTGTCTTTGAAGATCATTACTTCTGTTCAGAATCTTTGCGTTTATTGATTTCTTAGGCCTTCTTCATTTTATGCAGTTAATTTTTCTTGTTATCTTCCTCAGTTTTACCTGATATTGTGTATCTTTGTCCTATCATTCGATGTCATTGTCCTGTACATGACTATAATTAATGAGATGTGACAAGGCTTCTTTGTCGCTATTTTTGAAACTGTTTCTGTAATGCTTAGTTGATATAGTCCATGTTTGCTTCAGCTAAAAATAAGAATTAAAATCTAAACTTTTAACAAAATCTACAAAAAATCTTATTTTTATCTGAACCAAACAGCTCATTTTAAAAGTTTAAGCTTAGAAACGTGATGAATTTAATTATTGAACTATCCATCTTGCTTATATAGAGTGGATTCGTTCTTCAATCAAATGCACAACTTGTGGAATTTTCATACATGGATGGCGGAGAGATTGGCATAGTTTGTGTCTAGTAAGAGTAAATTACAGAGCCTCATTAAAAACTTCAGTAAATAGAGAGGAGACGAATTAATTTCTCCTATTTTATTGTTAACCATTTAGAAATTGCTTGCTAATCTATGCTTGAATTCATTTTCTTTTACATGATTTTATGTCGAGTTGGTTAAAATTCACTACGTAGACCTGCTAACCCTATGTTTAACTGGTAAGGGTCATTGGTCACAAAGATGCAATCCATGGCCTAATGTTGCTGGAAATTATCTCTTGATTGTTTTCTGGAATACCTTTTCCCCCCTTTCTACTATGATAGAAAGTTATGCTCTATTTCTAAAATTACCAACGAGTAGGGGTGGGCGCGGGTCGGTTCGGTTCGGTTTTTTTCGGTTCCAAAAATTTTCGGGTATTTAGTAAATGGACCCGTCGGTTCCAAATATAATTTTGGAACCATTCGGTTTCGGTTCGGTTCGGTTCG